GTATCATCATTTCATTGAGAAGGATGAGGAAAGATTTAATTAAGAAAAAAATTAAAAAATAAAAAAGAAAATCATACTACTAATATTCGATATCGTAAAATGATGTTTATTAGTTAGTTTATTTTCTGGAAATAATTGAAGGAAGACGAAAAAAAAAAAAAAAAAAAAGAAAAAAAAAACTAGTTTGGCTAAAAAGAAAATACATTCGAAAACTTCCTCCTCTTTTTATTTATGATCATATTTAACCGTAAAGTATGTTGTTAGTTAACTATTACTGATCGACGAACGTAAAAACAAAAAAAAAAAGAACATCGAGAAGTGTGTAAAGAATTTAAGTGCAAATTTAAAAATAGAGATAGAATTTACTGCTCGCGTAAATAGATCTTTCCTAAGGGGGGTCATTGATTTTTTTTTTTCCTTTTTTTGTTTTTTTTTTCTTTCTAAATACAAATCAAGAAAGAAAGAGAGAAATAGATAAACGATTGTATGGGGGAAGACAATATAGTAATGTACCATCTGGTCGAGATACGATATGTACCAAGTTAACACACACCCACACAACACACACACACATACACATACATATATATTGTATACTTATGCGTGTATTCAAACTGAAAGAGCAATCTCGATTGCAGAGAGTTCAAACATTCTCTAACACGAAATTTTAACGCCCGAGGTGTTAAATTCTATTTTCGTTCATGGTGTGTGTATGTATGTATGTATGTATGTATATAGGTATTAGTTAGCAGTCCATGATGATGTCTATGAGTTGGACAAGGAGATAGATATAGTTAAGGAAAAAGAAAGAAAGAAAGAGAGAGAGAGAAGAGGTGGTGGAAACGATCCAAGATCTTTCGAGAGGTGAAAAGAAAAAGAAAAAAAAAAAAAGGTATGTGTGTTTAAAAGAGAAAGAAGAGGAGGGGTGGAAGGAAACGATGAAAAATCTTTGAAGAGGTGAAAAGAAAAAGAAAGATAAAAAGAGAGAAAGAAAGAGAAAGAGAAAGAGATTTGGTTTCCCGAAAGAGAGAAAGAGAAAGAGAAAGAGAGAGAGAGAGAGAGAGAATACCGGATATTAAAAATGGAATAATAATAATATATATAAACAACCGTCCGATTGACCGATCGAATCGATCGATCTCGGGCTCGCTTAAATCTACTACAATGAGTGTATTCATGTATTCACGAACATCTATTTGCCAGGATGTCGCCGGATTGGTAAACAAGGTGGCCGTCTTCGTCGTCCTCAACGGAGGGCGGTCGTGGGCTCTATATGGGCCGGCGTAATCGGTATCGGCGGCGGCGGCGGCGGCGGCGGCGAAGAAGAAGAAGAAGAAGGAGGGCACGGTGCCAACAGAGACAGAAGAAGAAGAAGAAGAAGAGGACCAAACCAACCCCGAGAGATACACCCGGAGTAGTGTGTGTCGTCGTTTCGTTTCATTAAGGCCCGGGGGTTGGGGTTAGTGTGTTCGTGAGACCCCAACATGGTTGTTGTTGATGATAGTAGGCCCCAATGTAGAAGGAAGAAGATGACCCCATTGGACACGACAAACGGTGTTGGTTGTCGTCGTCGTCGGCGTCGGCGTCGTCGTCGTTGTTGAAGTTGCGCAGTTGTTGTTGGTTGGTTGTCGTGTTGAGGTTGTTGATTGTTGAGGTTGGAGGTTGGTTGTTGAGTTGTTGCCATTGGTCATCCATCAGGTGAAGGTGTTGTTGTTGTCGTTGTCCACATCCCATATCATCATCAATCGACATCGCGTCAACCGATCGCCACACACCGTCATCCACACCACCATCGTCACCGTCATCACCACCACCACCACAAGGGGCGGAGAGACCCGTGTTGTAACACGCGGCAGAGGACGTGTGTAACCACGGACGAACGTTAGAGTGTGTCGGTGGGGGGAGGAACAGGAGGGATACACCGTCATTATCGTCATCGTTATCGTCATCATTATCATCATTTTCATCATCATCATCATCATCATCATCATCGAGACAGAGAGAGAGACCAACCACAATCCGAGTGCCCAGTCGACCATAGTGACCAATCCGTGTGCCATAGCCATTTCCATTCCATTCCATTCCATTACAACGGAGATGGTAACCCAACAATCAGAGAGAAAGGGGAGAGGGCAAAATGGTTTGCCAAGTCAGAAAGTTGCGGTTACGAATTTACCATCGGCACAAAGCACATATTTTTTCGTTTTTCTTTCTTTTAAATATAACCCTTACTTTTTTTTCTTTTCTTTTTTTTTTTCTCTATTTCTATTTTACCCGTAATTTTATTATCGTTATTATTTATAATACGATTATGTATATTATTATTATGTATATTATTATTATTATCATCTTTACCATATATATATATATATATATATATATATTCTCTTATTATTATATTGATTTTATTACTCTTATTATTATTATTATTATTAATTATTCTTCATTGTATTTATTATTAATTATACCATCGTTACTCGCACCGTCATTCGTCTAATTAATAATCCGACATTATATTTCTATACCGTTCTTACTTTTCCCTCTATTATATAATAACTATCGATTTAAACCTAACTCCCCCGTTATTTAATTCGATTTTTCGTGTCTCGAGGATACGCAAAGCCGTCTCGATATTCCGGAACGACTCTAATTACGACGAATTTTATATATACATATACATATATGTATATGTATTATACATTTTTATACACATATATATACATATATATATATATTTATGTACAATATCGAACGACGATAAACTAATTAATACATATGAATATTCTATGATAATATGTACGATAGGCGGATAGAGAAAAAGTAGAGAAAGTATCAACACGTGTAATTTTCGAGTCGATACGATATTGTATGTAAAACGCGTTAATATTCTATTTGTCTAGGACAATTAACCGATTATACTTTACGATTATTAAAAAACAACATGCATGTATTGATATATATACATAAATATATATATATATATAAAAATATTTAATTTTATCTTTATATTTATCGCGATTTTTCTCCCGATTATAAGCCATAACCCCTTTTTCCTTTTTAATCGGTAAATATATAGTAACTATATTATAGTAATATTATAGTAACTAGAATAGAAAAAGATAGAATGCCATTATTGTGTCATTGTAAAAATTGTATAACGAAATGAAAAACGAGAAAATGGTACTCCGTTCGCATGTCAGTTAATATTATTCTGTATTTTTTTTTTTTAATTATTATTATTATTATTATTAATTAAATAATTAAACTTATATCTTACTTTCGTTACTCTTGACTCGTGTCGAAAAAGCTCACAAATATGTTAAATATACTTACGTGGGTAGAAAGTTAGCGTGCCAGCCACTACGATCCCCCAATTATCATACGCGTGAAACACGCTAATATTAATAATAATAAGAGAAACAAAAAAAAAGAAACAATTATGGAATAAAAAGAAACCAACAAACGTGATCTCGATCTTCAGCTTATCGAGGATTGTGTAAAAAATATAAACGAGAAAAAAAAAGAATTGAATTTTTCATGGCAATCGAAATTTAGAAAAAAAAAAATACTTGAAAACATATTCATTTCTAATGTAATTCAAGAATTGGAAAATAAACGTAACAAGTATTTTCAATAATCATTATTAAGAGAAAACGTTTGTTATAATGTCGATAAGATCCGATCGATATGTTTTTTTTTGTTTTAATAAGCACAAATGTGTAATATTACTTTAGTTTGATCGTTAAAAAATAAAAAAAATCGAGATCGAGCAGGAGTTTATGGTTCTAAATACATGAAGAAAAAACTCTCTCACGCAAACACGGGATTGTTATTATTACAGGACGTGCATTATTTTCTGCAACACGAGCCGACATTTTGCGTGCTGGTGTGACTATTCGTTGCATGTAAAATTTTACAAACGTCTATTTCTAACTTTTTTGCGCAATTTTTTTTTTTATTTTTTTTTTAAAAAAAAAAAAAAAAAAAAAAAAAAAATCAAATACTAGTATTACCTTTTATGTATAATAATCGACGATTTATACAGGATGACGTTTAATATCATATATATATTAAATAAAATAATCGATAACTTATTTTTCTTATAAAAAAGAAATAAATGAAAATGTCTTTCCATTTGTTACTAAGAATAAAAATGTCGATATTTTTGTGGAATCGATTAAAATGAAACATCCTGCATGTATATTCAACGTTACGGACGTCAAACGTTTCCAATTTTAAAAGCACACTAATTCGCGACGACGATGATCTTTTTGAAAATGTTGAAAAGACGCAAATCGCGAAATTTACCACCAGCGTGCCAAATATCGAAAATCTTTAGAAGCACGAAAAGACGTTTGATATATTATTTCAATGACATATTATATCGTCTAACGAATTTTCGTATTGGTCATTTAAACAAAAACAAAAAACAAAAAATATTAAATGATGTGCAATGGATGCAATGTGTGCATTGGATAAAATTGAATCTCACAGGGATATATATCATCATATTATCAATCCTAGAAAGAAAAAAAAAAGGAATCATTTGGATGGAAACGAATTGATGATCCTTATTATTATCATGATCATTATTATTATTATATTACAATAATTATCGATAACAACAACAGCAACAACAGCAAGACCATTGCTCGTGGCTCGACAACTTACGATCGCGTGATTCGAATCCAACTCGTTAATGACAGTAGAGGAAGAAGAAATATTTGACGCGTATGAATTCTTTGTGATATCCTTTTTGTTATTACTACCATGAGTATTCTTCTTATACTTGCTAGCGATGATATCGGTAGTACTTGGTTTAGCATTTTTTCCTTGACCACCACCACCACCACCAACACTACCACCACCGGTAGTAGCAATTTCGCTGAAAGCCTCATCCATAGCCGCATATTTCATAATCAAACTTTGAATCTCTTTGCGTTTGGCTGCTCTTTCGGAAATAGCAGGATCAACTTCTTCTTCTTGTTCGTTAACTTCGGTTTTCTTTAGCTCGTTCTTTGATATAACATCATTTACAATAGTAATACAATCACCAGCAGCACTATTAGAAGCAGCAGCAACAACACCACCATCATCGGTTGGTGTTTTCTCTGGATCGTTAAGAACTTCCTTGCCAGCAACTAAGCTCAAAGGTTCGACTCTGCTTGGCCGAGCTAAAGATCTAAGAGAAGAGGTCGACTTGCAATCGAGTTGTTCGCTTTTACCATTCCGATGTGGTCTGACCTTTCTACTGCGTGTCTCAGCGTGACCGGATTTGTGTCTACCGTAATGTCGGTAAGCTTCCGAACCTAATAAAGTTTGTCTATCCGATGTCCTACGATAACCAGGTGTTTTCTCACGTTTCAATTCTTTATTAGTTCTAGAACTGACGTATGGATAAGCTTTCTCACTTAGAAGTACATTGGTAGTACTTTTGATGACCGATCGTGGCAACGATGGTTCCAATGTTTTTTCATCCCTGCCGTAAGAATCTCTTCGATGAAAACTATGTTCCCGTTCATCCTTCCTTCGAAAATAACCAGCAGCAGCAGCAGCAATATTGATATTACTACCATAGTCAATACTCTTTTCCTTATCATCGATAGTTTTCCTATTGGTATACTTGTCTAATATTGAAGAATACTTGTCTTCTAATCTAGTTCTTGCATTGCTAAGATAATTGCTGGCATTGAGAGGTGATCGTCTTGTTCCGATCGATCGGTCGTTGGCTGTTGAAGTGCCACGTACCCTGGTGGTCAATCGTTGCAGCAAATTACTGCAGGAATCTGTTAAAAGCTGTGTTACGCTGGTCGTTGTCGATGAACGAGCGTAACGATTACGTCGTGACGTAGATCCTTGTCTGCTGTTACTATTCGTCGACATACCGTCGCGTTGGGCGAATATGAACATCTTGCTGCTGCTGTTTTACTGTTGCTTTCTGCGATCGACACGACGATGTGATGATAATGCTAGATAATCTTTTTCAAAATTCTTTCGTCGATTATTAGTCGACCGTCCGAGGTACGGTCGACTTGTTTTATACTCCCCTCAGCAAAATATATTTTTCATTCTCGACTCGAATTGAAAAAAGAACACCAAAAAATCTATGATAAACGATGTTATCGAGACTGGATAGAAACGATTTTCAATTCTTTCAATAAAACTTAACGCACTCGAGACTACACCCCGAAAAAGTTGCACTTTGCTAAATTGATCCTGACTTTTGAAATTCGATATTGTTCACAAATGCAACGCGAGAGAAATCGAAATAGAAGATTTTCTCAACAGCAACCAAATGAAAAGAGAAAAATGTTAATCACGATCTCTTGATTTATCCTCTCTCTCTCTCTCTCTCTTTCTCTTTCTCTTTCTCGTTAATTTAACCTTCAATATCGAGTCAATTTAGAACAAAAAAAATAGACAATATTAATCGGACGGATGATAGATCATCTGTTGGACGAGGTTCTGAATGGTCAGGGTCTAGAGCCAAGAAGAATAAGAACAAGAAGAAGAAGAAAATTGCTCCGATCCACCGTGAGAAGAAACATTGTTCAAGGTCGTCGTCGTCATCATCATCGAAGAATGCATTATATTATCATTTTTATTCTTATCATAATCATTATCGCATCATCGAAGAAGCTTTGATATTGTATCTTGAGGATTCTTGAGGATTCTTGAGGAATTAAAAAGAGAATATGATACTACTACTTCTCCCCTTTCTTGATAATGACGATGACGATGATGATGATGATACTACTCTCTTCTCATCTCATTTCTTCTTCTATCTAAGAGTCGATCGCGACGAACGCGTCAATCGAGAGGGACGCGAACAGAGCCACTAAAGCAACGTCGTCGAAAACGATGCGAACAGAGACGAGGACGCTGAGAAACGTTTGCAAAGAGAGGAAGACTAAGAAGAGAAAGAGAGAGAGAGAGAAGGGGGACCTGGGGGTGCGGGGGGTAAACCGAGGTACGCCCCGCCAAATACTCTTCTTGCACTAAAAATATCGAGGAGCGATCGCAAGAAGCCCGCTCGCTCACCCAAACACTCCTAACGATGTCTCTCTTACCTATACACATACATACACGCGCATAACATTACTATCTTTCTTTCTCTTTCACTGAGCAAGAGTATGGGTAAATGAGAAAGAGGGGGGAGGGAGAGAAGTATTTGAAAAAAAAAGAAAAAGAAAAAGAAAAATTGTGGGAAGAAAGAGAAGATTGCGAATAATATTACGTAAATTGTCTTCCTCGGTCTTAACTTACAAGTATACTCTCCCTTCATCGTGTTATAAAATAACAGTTTGGTTTGAATAAAACATTCTAAAAGGGCTGAAATGGAATACATTATCAGACCAAAAAAATATCTAATCACAGTGAACACTTATTTAGCAAGAGTTGATGGTAGTAAAAAGTTTTAGTTAGTTTGATAAATGAATAATAGAACGAAATGAGGGATTTATTATAACGTAACTGTATTTTGAGATACGATTCATTAATTGGGCAAAATTGGCCTCGTCATTGGCAAAGCTACGTTACTTCCTGGTATATACCGCTCCCCTCCCCCCTTAACCTGGCAATTAAGATATCGGGTAAATGATTTATATCGTAAGATTGACAGAAATTCCCTACTCAATGCAAACGCATCTTACATTAGTGTAGTACCTTGACATGGATAGTAAACGATTACGAAATGTAAAACGGTTTCGATAGCTTTAAGTAGACGTAATGTCTCCTCAGACATTTCGTCTCCTCGGTGGAATTAAAGTTCGTCATCGACCGAGATACATCGAGTTGATTTAGGCGACCTCAAAAACTGATTGTAATATTTGTGGGTCATGATAAATGATGAAGAAGAACAATAAGAAGAACAATAAGAACAAATGCATCAAAAAGAAAATCAAGAATAATAATAATAATAAAAAAAAAAGAAGAAAAAGATCGATCAGACGATCGATTGATCGATCAAGACGATCGAGAATTACGCTTGGAAGCTTAGATCGAATTAGAAATTAGGATCTAGGATCGGGGGCCCCGGCTAGAATACCAGCAGTAGTAACAGCACAGCATATCGTCGACATCGTCGGTAGACGCACATATCAGTGGGCGGGTTCGTGGACTCTCCGCGTAACTATTAATAAAGCTCGGCTTGTGTCTCTTCAAGGTCGTCATCGTGTACCTTACAGAGGAAGAGAGAAAGAATGAAAAAAAGAAAGAGAGGGAGAGAGAAAGATAGATATCGTATACAAACTGCGATTTACCGATATATAAATAAGCTCAATGTGAGGGGGGGAAAATAAGGTTCAATTTGTTGGACATTCGAAAGTAGTGACCAATCCAATGAAGAACCGATTCCTTCTTCTTCTTCTTTTACTTTGAACATAGTGATCTCTTACCCGTGTTAAGGTCAACGCTAATATCAAATTACTACTACGATAAAGTCTGCACACCGTTTAAGCCGAGGAAGATCAACTTATGGAATTGATCTCTTACGGTAAGTCTTTTTCTTATTATTCTTATTCTTCTATCTTCTGTCTTGATCAACGAACCACACGCAAATAGAGAGATAACTTTACTGTTGATCTTAAATATAATCAAGGAATACTAATGTCCATGATTCTTGAATAACTGACAGATTTTTCGTTTGCTAAAAAGAAAAAAAAGAAAGAAGAGAAGATCAGATAAAAATATCTTTTCTTTTTTTTCTTTCTCCCTCCGTGGTTCTCTTCATTTTTCTGTTGCATACAAATTTCAGTGTTAGCCAAAAGTATTGAATTAATGGATAGCTCTCGTCGGGAGAATTTTGAATTAAGCATATTTTCTAAGACGAGAAACTCATGTAGAACGGAATTGAAAGAGAGAAAGAGAGAAATTGTAACTCTCGTTTTCTCGTAGACTCGTTAGGACAAATATAAATCGGTGGTAGGAGAGGGCGCGCTTGTATCTGTTGGCCGCCATAACGGTGCTACAAAAGTTGGCGCATACGCCGTTGCTCTCTCTGCGGGAGCATCGTAGATGAAAAACGCGAATAATACCGGCTTCCAACCCCACCCTCCATTTCTATGAGAATTATTTAAAACGTATTATAAATATAGTTTTGGTAAACAAATGACATGTGTAAGAAAAGTTTATTGAAAAGTAAATAGATAGTAAGATAGATAGATAAAGGATTGTAAGAATTTGGTTACACGCGTCAACACAAGCATAGAATAAAACAAAAAAAAAACAAAAAAAAAACAAAAGAAAAGAAAAACAAAATGTATAGCATAATTGCACACACACTGTCGGAGATCCACGCAAAAGAAAATTACGATAGAATTAATTAAAATTGTAGAAATAATAATCCAAAGATCTCAATCTAGTTTTCGTGCTACCTCTGAAGTCGACGTGCTGTTGGATTCCGGTGTGACGTCGAGTTTAGCGTCGAAGCAACGAATATTCGTCGTCATCGTCGTCGCCCCCGTCGTTGTCATCGTCGTCGTCGTCGTCATTTCCGGAACGTTCCTTGGCAACCAATTATCCCATACAGCTTGTCTTGGCCACCAAGAAACCTCGGTAGGCATCAACAAGCCCAATTCTTGTCCGTTCATCGTTGAAAATGATGAAACCGCGGACGAAAAAGAAGAAGACAACGACGATGACAATGACGATGACGATGACGACAATGACGACGACGACGAGGTGGTCGCTGTTGGTGGTGGACCACCGTCGTATGTTATCCAACACCCAGGATGATCCAGGATGAATTCTATCTCGTTAAGTGTTTTCTATTTGGACTTCTTGTTTTCTCGATAAATGCACCCCAGCCCCCACCGGAGAGTAAATTTCGCGTGATAGGATGATAATGGACACGAACGAGTTTACGTCTGTCTCTCACTCAAAACTTACGCATGTTGCCAAGAGGAACGCGTATTTCTAGATCCAGCTTTTAAAACGTTTTCTGGGTCAGAGGGGACGACACACACCGTTCTCGATATCCCCTAAATGTATTTATCTCCAATAGGCCAAATTTTCTTCTTCGAAAGCCTTGTCTTGTTTCTTCTTTTTCTTTTTCTTCTGTCAGATGATTTAATAACCCAAAACGAGAATAAGTGCGTTTCCATACGATTTACATCCAATTATTGTCCAATCTTCCTCCACTTTTACCCATCTTCTTTGAGCATCCTTTTTTTCAAGAAAAACCCATTATCGATTCATATCGATCGATCGAAGAGGACTAGAAAGAAAGCTAACGTTTCGATCTCAAACTTTCCAATCGATTCTTCTCTTTTCAACGATAAGAGAAGAAAGTGGCGAAGAAAGAGAAGGAGGCTGAGGAGGAGGAGGAGAAAAAAGCCGATGACGATGACGATTATGACGATGACGACGACAACAACAACAACAACAACTTATCCCTAAGGATAACGACAACGACGAAGACGACGACGAAGACGTTGCACCAGCCATCTGGCGCAAACTCGTACTAAAACTCGCGGCGAAAACGCGTGACGACCGCCGCAAGTCCCCCTCGAAAATAGTCCCTCGGTCTAAAATAGCCGACGCCGAGTAAAAGAAAGAAGAATCTCATCGGCATTCGCTTTGGTACGCAAGCGAAAAAGAGAAAGGAAGAAAGAGAAAGAATAAGAAGAAGAAAAAGATGAAGATGAAGATGAGCTTTCGTTTGCTCTCAACCAACTTCAGTTAAACTTCTCCAGTGTTTGAAAATTTGCCTCGTCGTATCTCATCCATACGAAAGTAATTTGTTCTCTCTTTCTTTCTTTATTTATTTATTTCCTTTCTCATCCTCATCCTCGTCTTCGATTCCATCAGATTGCTTTTTATCTCAACGACGTTAAAATTAAATTTCGATATACGAAGAAACGTATAACACAATACAACGAACTTCTCCTCCGGTGTCTCGTATCAAACGCAACGACGCAGAAAGGAAAGTAGTCTAGCTCGGGAAGGAAGTAGAAAATGATAGTGGAATAAATAAAGAGAGGTTGAGAATTAACCTAACGGGGATATTAAATGCTTAGCTAGCTAAAGTAGATTCTCATATTTCCAGGTAACGGACGAGCTAAGATGTTCCCGTTTATATCACTATACCTATGTTAAATGATTTTCTCTGAAAAATAAAACAAACTTTCTAGAATCTAAGCGTTTAACATAGAATTTTTTCATTAGTGTAAAAGTAATATTATTATGTTCGACGTGAGAGAGAGTGTATATATAAAGAATAATTATTATTCAACTTTATAAGAACGGAGTACCATTATTAATTTCTTAGAACAAGATCTTATATTTGTCGATAGAATAAATATATAATCGATCATTTTCATTCTGTCTACTATCGACCATCT